TGCCACCCCAAGATCCTTGTGAGACCGGGCCATGGGTACAGGCACTTCCCCTACACTGTATCTATTTACCTTTGTATCGTCAAAGTGCATGTAGACACAATCGTCCGCGTTGATAGGCATCAGCCATTTTTCAGATCAGCTAATCGTTGTCTCTGAGTCTGCCTGAAGTGCTCATGTATGTATCTCCTGTTATTCCTCTAGATTTTTACATCAGCATATAGTAGCATTACGGACTCAACTATACTTGGGAGTTCATTTACATTTATTATAAAAAGTAAAAGATCTAGGACGGAACCTTGAGGTACTCCACTAAGTACTAGTTTTCAGGCGCAATACTTGGAATATATTCTTACTTCCTTTCTACGAACTACCATTTATTTATTTAAACACATAAATATTGGTACAAAGGGGCATTGAATACATATGTGCCACACAAGTCATTTGATCTCTATGTGGGCTGCGATACTCCCGCGTGCCCAAATAGAAGCAGGTGGTTTTCCTAGGGGCCACACCTGGAGCCTTCGACCTATAGGTCTGATCCACAAGTCAGTGAAGCAACGTCAGGAGATGCAGTCCCATGGTAGCCTGTGACCAATGATTGGTTCATACGCCATTTGTTCCTTCAGGGTACTGTAGTCCATGTGCACTATTGATTGGGAATCAGGGTTTTCCAACTCCCCTAGATACATTCTTTGTGTCCACCAACCCTGTTGAAGCGCTGAACATTCACTTTTCATCCTTTCAATTTTTTAGACAACACTGTTACCGCTAGAGTAGGACTTTCCTGGTAGTGGCTCTATGCACGTGGTCATGTGAGTGCATTTCGAGATGGAGACATGACTCTCTCCATTCTCGGCTGTTCCAATGCATTTGAGGGCGCGACATATCAGGAATCCCCAAGCCATTTTAAGAGGGGGCATGTAGACCCTTAACTTTGAGATCAAGATGCCGGGTCTTTTAAACGTCGATCATGTAGCAACCAAATAGCTACACTGAGAATTGTTACACAGTTTAACAAAACTCCTCGGTAGACACCAACTTCCTTGATTTTGAGGAGTCATTCGAAAGCGTGTAGAGAATGACGTAGAATCTTTTTTGACACTGGTGTACCTAAAATGATTGTCATCATTATACGGAATTACAGCGACAAACTTAAGAGAAGACATAGTGTAGCGGTGGTTTCTGTAGCAATAGGTCTGATTCAGCTGGCGACTTAGTTCTCGTATAATTGTGGCTAATAAATCTCGTCATTTCGTCTTACCTTCCTCTTGATGTAAGATAATAGTCGTTTGGGACAGATGCAATTATCTGTTAACTGTCTTGTGTAAACCAGTGTTCAACCTGAAGATGTCCACTTTACATATGTTCTTGACCCTACTGCACTCAGACTTTTTTATGACCAGTTGCGAAGAACGAATCTCGGGTTCTGTTAAAAGGGATATAAGATAGCTTATATGAAGTTGATTGTGGTATGAGGGGATATATTATTTATCCAAATATGGCTTTTAACGTACTTCAATCGACTGACCTAAATTATATGTGTCGGTCCAAGTGACACACCTCATTAGCACAAGATGAATACCATATTCATAGAAGTGGTTACTTCAGTGGTCGTAATATATAAAAGGATTATTTCATAGAAAGATATGATACAGGGAGAAAAAAGTATTTGTTACAAAGAAAGATATAAAGCAATTTTAATCTTACCGTTTAAGGGCAGACAAAGAGTATACACCTACGTCATTGTGATCGACTTTGAGCCATGTCACCCTGAGTCTACAACCATTGGCTATGATAGTCGCGCGTACCTCAACCAAGTAGTCTGTATCTACCAACATGGCTAAAACCAGAAGGTATCGATTTCAATGACTGATGCCACGTTTTAGTTTGGCCGCCCCTAACTGTCTTCCAATCATCCCCAACACTAGTCAGCAGTGCTCATCGTGGTAATTGGTGTTCAGGCATACGCAACACGTGGCCCAACCATCTCAGTCGATGAAGATTCACAACCTCATCAACTGATTTACCATCATTCCCTAATACCTTGTTTCTCTTCCGACCTATTAAAACATCGGTGATCAAATACTAGTAACTTAAAAGTATCTCATACTAGCAGTAACCGCCCTCATGCCTCTAACGGCACTCAAGATCACTGTATTGATATTCAATAATACCGCGTACTTACTAGTTATCCCTTTGAGAAAAATTCCTGTAGAATCAAATATCAATACCAATAAATACGTAGATTGGTAACTGAAATTATATGCCTCAGTGCATAACACGGGATAGTCTCTTCAGTACGCTCAACAGGATGTAAAACCTGCCTAATTATTCAATGACACGGCTCATAATCGTTTGCAATACTACAAGTGAATCTATTCTTTGTCTTTCCCCAGGTTCTAAGCTTCATAACTTCTCACGATGCTTTTATTTCATTAATTTATATCTTCTCAAGTCGTATCTTCGATGCCTAATCCTTTACAAACGAGACTACTGCTATCCTCTTCTTCCCTACTTTTTTAATCGAAGTAAGCAGTGTAGTTGTCGCATGGAAGCTTTATTGATCAAAACCCAGAAGAACACAGAAGATATTCAACATAATCAGTTATATGTCAATAACAGTGATTATAGTTTAGTAATTGAGTAGTTTTTAATTGAAACAAATCATAGTAAAAATGGATTAAAGGTCATGAATAATATTCGGACTGAGTAAATTAATGTAACAAAAAGTCATCTGCGATCGATATTGGTCTCCTTCCTCGTAAATTGTATTTATTGCGCAACCCTCTCTAGTTCACTTGAAACTGAATATTCCGCCGTCGACGTCGGTTCGGCCACCTTTTGGGATGTAGGTCTACTTGTTTTGGAGGTATCACCTGTTTTTCTCCTAGTGTGTCGTTCAGGGGTTGTAGTACTCTGTAAACGTATATTAATATTTACAACGGTGTTGCTTTTTGCTATCGTATGTCGGATGATATGCGTCTTCGTTACTGATTGCTATTTCGTTATGTTTTCCAACCACTGCGTCATACAATACCTGTCACAACTCTCGTTTCACACTCCTCTTTATCCATTTGTCTTGCATCGGTCTATGATCTCGGAAAACACATGATTTCGAATGTTAAAGCTTTTAGTGGGACCATTTTTCTACTAGTAATCATTCTCGGTAACATCAGTTGTCGAGTTGTTCTCAGTTTGCGACACACGAGGACTTTCGATAGCGATTTCTATTTTAGTAATTCATCACTTGATATAGTTTTGTACATTAACAAAAAAATCGTGCAATATATCAGTGGGTAATGAGTGGAGATCAATATGCATCCAATTGATCCAGTCTCGTACAAAAATTATCAAAACATTCTTTCATTGGTCATAATCTGAACACTACTCAAGGTGAAACGAAGTATTTGATATTTTATATTAGTAAGCCAGTTTTACTCGGTTAAAACCCCAAAAAACATGATTTACAATAAAATCTAAGATCATGTGAAACAAACTAAAACTACCACCTCACGAGTGTCGCCATAGAAGGATTCCGCATCATTTTGTGAGGGAGGTAAACGATGACCAAAGATTAGGTCCAGCAGTTAAGTCCTAACTGATTGGAGAATGAGTGACCCATAAGCTAATTTCCTCTAATTCCCTATGACATTTTGTCATGCCTATTTTGTGTATAAGCGTGTCATTTTATGATACAAAACCCATATCATCTAGCTTGTAGTCTTGTTTGTGATTTCTAATCGTTCGAGGGCTTAGGTCAGTAGTACAGTTTTATGGTCAACCCATTCTATATGTCAATTTTAACAGACGGAAATTCCGTATTACCAGATCATCAAGAACTTCCAAAATAATAGCATAGGCTATTTCGGTAGGAAAATCGCCATTATAATTTGTTAATTTATCTTGCAACTTATCTCGGGGCTGCAATTGGTATGGCTTCTAGGTGTTTCATATACCGGAAAGGAACTGGTCAACTCAATTCCGTCCTACTTTATGGCAGTGAAACATGGCCAGTAAGAGTAGAGGATATTCGTAGGTTACCAGTATTTGATCATAAGTGTCTTCGAAACATTGCTCGTATATCCTGGGACCATCGAGTAAATAACGCGGTTGTTAGGAAACGGGTACTAGGTAAGAATAGCAAATCAATTGATGAAGTAGTGAAACTTCATCAGTTGAGAAGGCTGGGACACGTGTTACGTATGCCCAATGATGGACTGCCTCGACGAGCGATGTTCAGTAATATAGGAGTAGATTGGAAGAAAGCTAGGGGCGGCCAGACCAAAACATGACACAAGTCCGTGAAGTCACTGACAAGTGGACTGAGTCATGTTGTAGGTGTAGACTAACTTGTTGGGGATCGCGAGATGATAGAGACCGATTATTAGAGACCCTGAATGACATAGCTCATAATCGTTTGCAATGGCGCAGTTGCATCCACTCTATGTGTTCTCCCAAATTCTAATCTCCTGATTCCTCATTGTCTCTTTTTTCTCTTCCCAAATTTGTTTCACTGTATTATACTCTTTAAATAACTCCAAACACTAATCTTTTCGATTACTGCTTATACTCTTACTACATCTAGCACTACGGGATTTGAATCGACAACTGCATCTCTGTGTTAATGTGGTGTGGCAACTTGAACTGATGTACGTACGTACGTACGAAGTTCTACGTTGTTATCGACTGACTGACTGATTTCGGACTTCGACTGTAAATTCGTGTTTATCTAGAAAATATCAATCTTATGTCTTGTAAAACATAGTTGCTCTCTTATAATCATCATAATGAACTGGATGGTTTATCTTCGATAAAATCAATGATAAATTTTAATCTTTTTTTAAAATCACCATTCCAAAAACAGCCAACTTGTTGAAAAATCTACCCACAAGAATTATTTACGATGACTTCGAATTCCCTGATAGAAGCGGGCTCAATTGTTATGCTTCGAGCCATAGAACTTGAGAAACAATTAAAATTTACTGAAAGTTTGACATGCTATGAAGAAAGTATTGGGTTTATTCATCAAAGCTCTTCGTTCTATTCCTGATAATACACGTAATATATATTTGTTTACGCTACTAAATTCTTGTTTTTAGAACCAGAATTCAAAGACAGATTCAGACTAAAAGTTTCAGAGTATATAACCCATGCAGAAAAACTTAAGGAAAAACTTAAAAAGGAATCAGAAAGTCAGTTAAATTAAAAAAACTATCTCATCTTATTTTCATATTAGATGGAAATTATCACGAACAAATTGTTATAGAGGAAGGTGCTACTGGTTACAGTTACAAGAAGGTTTTTGGAAGATTTCTTGAAGATGGTACAGTTAGCAAAGTTTGGGTGGAAGATCCGTATATCAGAAATAGTTATCAAGTTAACCAAAATTTTTCATTAATGCAAAACTGTCTTTATTTAGATTGAGAATTTTTCTCACTTTTGTGAAATCATCGTTCAATCAGTGTCGAAGGTGAAAAATATTTATTTAACCACCGGAGAAGATGCCCAGGTTTGTTAATTTGTCCACCTTTAATCCATTTAATCCTAATCAAAAATCAGTTTTCGTTATATATATATTTTCTACCACTATGGAGTATATCTTTTCAAATTCTTAGACATTGATTAGAAATAATTTTCAACTCAAAATATAATTGAAATTAATCAATAAAGGGTATGATGAGGCTTATATGGCTTCAGACGTCTCATCACCAACTTTTTGTCATTCTCACACTTGTGATTTTTATGGCCCTGTAAAAATACGTGACTTATTTGGTTTATCATGTTATCAGGACTTGCCATAGTTTCGCACCGATTTACCTGTATTATGGTATAATAGGCCTCTCATTGGTAATATCTTATCATTACTACTGGTTACACTTCGGTTTGACAAGTTAGTGCAACTAAATGGCAAGTACAGATTGATTTAACAAGCATTGAATCTTACACATTTGTAAGAGTTAAGGACTGAAGTAGATAGAGCAGGAATCAAATATTCTACCTAGTAGTGGTTAAATCATTCAAATATATATACACACATCTGTTACTATTGAAAATCTGTAAACGTAACCAACTTGGGAAAAGTAATGTCGTCAATCAACGTCACTTCTCATCAGTACAGCAAAAGAAGATTAACACTATGGAATTACTACCAATGTCCTTCATAAATATTCAGTCAACTTAGTATTTCTCCATTTACTGTCATTTTTTTATCATATACATATATTTGCTAAGCATGTCAGTTGGTAGCTAGTTAACATTAGTTTTACTCGCATATTAATCGTTTATAAATAAATGGATAAGAAGTTAGCCTTTTATTTTGATTAATAAAATTACCGTTAACACTATAAGTTGGCATCTATTTGTAGTGTACATAACTTGGTCTGTTCGTTTTCGTATAATAGGCTGTTATAACTTTCTGAAGGATAGCTATACTGTCTGTTTACGTAAATCATGAGTGAAGTGGCTGTCAATAACTTCACAACTTCATCATTTAGTTAATTTCACAAACCGGGACACAACTTTTTTGTATTTTAGCTAATATTAAATTGATAATCACGCCAATTAAATTGAAACAACTTTCCAATGTAAATTAGTTAGTGTACTGTAAGCATTTCAATACCTCAGAAATAATTTATTCCACATTGCTTCTAAACCGTAGTATTTACTTTTGCTAAAGACTTCAAAATAATTTACGTTCACTGAGACTTTTTGCCATGAAGTGTCTGTTAGCTATAATCAATCTAGAGCTTGACGCAGATGTGCTCTGACTCGAGTTTCTACACGGAATCAATACGATGAAATGAAATTAACGAGGAGCAGTAATGATAATGGGAAAGACTGACAATGGACAATATAATTTGAAAAGGTGTATATGGAGAAATATCAAAATTCAGAATCTAAGAAAGATAAACAGTAAATGCAGATGTGCCACTGGAAACGATTCTTAATCATATCATCCAGCGTCTCCAACTACTTGTCGCTGTTATCATGCAAGCTTTAACCACATTTTCTCCACCTACCAATACGGTTCAGTTCAACATTTACCAAATACATGGACTGATTCTATATCGTCCACGGCGTTCTTTCAATCTACTCCTGTTCCCACAACTGGTGTCTGTGGTTGAAATAAACTAAGTATTTCCGTGTTATTTAGTGCGTTGATAATATTCTGGTTTACCTCTTGTGTAGAGTTAAACTAGTTTTCACAGAATAAAAGGTTGGATGCTGTCATTCAGCGGTACTTTTAATAAGCTACTGATAACGACCGACCATGCAGTTTTCTATAAGAGTGTAATTTGTCCCTTTTTTCTATACTTTATTAGTATTGGACAAATAAATCCTATTCTATCATTATTATTATTTATTTATTTCTTCATTTATTACTACTGTTTTAGCATCCAGATGAACAAATAGAAAAGTTTAAAATGTTAAAGGGTGATCTAGAAAAGCATTCAGTTACTTTTGAGTGGACGTTCTCGGATACCTTACATGATCGAGAGATACGGTTAGTTAATAATTAGTTAGATAAAAAGCTGATTGTTGTTTCGTTTTGATAGTCTCGGATTGTAATTGTTCGGCTTCATTTTAAACAATACTTTTAAACAGTCATCTCCCAACATTGTGGTCAATTCAAAAAGATTAGTGTATACATATGTCGTGAGGTTGAACATCCTTTTCCAATGTTCAATGTAAGTACTATATCTAGAATTTTTGAACATCTTTCTGTTCATTTAGTGGATTAGCGTTATATATGACAGCATGGTTTTCACTAAGGAATTCATTTTAATGATCTGAAACTATCTAGATGTCTTCTACGAATTCCTCACTGTAGCGCCTCCCAACTTGCCGGATGAGTAAAACAAATAAAGTGAACATTGGAGCTTGAAATAAAATCCTCGGTTAAAATTATACCCTTATATGCAGCATTCACCTATTAAATGAACGGAAAAATACTCGGAAATACTTGATGCCACACACGTTAAATATTAAAAAGAGCTACAATCTCATGGGCAAATATCCTATTACTATGCATCTAATTTATTGGCTTATAGAAAAATCAGAGTTCAGTGATATGTTTTGGTTTTTTTGAGTATTTTCCTCTCTGTTGTGTTTTATAATTAGTGCTAATACGAAAAATTATTTAATTGGTGTTGATGTTTACACTGAAACTTGGACCAATTATTTATCTCTTGAAATGTCAACATAATATCTATTCAGTTATTGAGTATAGGTAGTCATTAAATTGTTCAGCAAGTATAAAGGTTTTAAGTACGTTTGTAATTTCTTATTGTTGATATTCAAAATGGCAAGTGATCAGGTACTGGGTTCAAGTCTCAGTATGAATAACAACACGAAGTTGGAGTTATATCCACCTGAAAAGTCCCAGATAAGACTATATGTGCGCATCTTAGGTTCCACTGCTGACCACATAAAAAAAATATACCAACATCAAGCTATATCTAATTAATCCTATTTAATTCATCTTGTTAACCTTTTTCTCTAGATTTGATATAATTATTAAATGTGACAGTTTCAATCAATCCACATTCATGCTTATGTTGTCACTATAACTTAGTATTAAACAAATTCCATAAAATTATTCTTTTTATTCATGATCATCTACTTGTGTTTTATTGAAATTATTTTCGTTTTATTTTTTTTTCCTGTTTTTAAAAATGAAAAATAGATTTGATAGTGGATGGATTGTTAAAATTGGTCGTGGGTTGGATTATATACGTCGTCCTGAACATAAATTTTGTGGTCTCGGTGTACATGACTATGACTTTCGGACATGTTCTGCAACAACTATTGACATATTTCATTCTTCTATTTTACGTCAAGATACATAAAGAAATATATATGAACTTTCCTTTTTAAAAACTAATATAGTATATGATGTTATTATCTAATTACCCTGAAAATAAATCAGTAAGAGGATGATAAAAAAGCCTTGACGACCTCAAACATACAACATTTTGATAACTTTCCATTATCATTAGTCTTTCATCTTTTTTGAAAAAGAAATTATGTTACAGAACCATTTTTTAACTTTAACAGTTTTTTTCTATGTTTTTTACTCATTTGGTCATTGTATTTATATGTTAGGTCAAGGAATCATTTAATTTTAAGATTTGAAGCATCCAATGATTTTTTCTATCAACTAAACACTGGTTATCTTCGTAAGCAACATAGACTTTGGCGCATATATTCATTCTTTCATGTTGTCACACTATATTAAAACGGTGAGATGAAATTATTAGGATAAATGCTGGAATAGTAGAAATAGTAATGGTATCAGGAGTAGTAGAAAAGATTGAAGAAAGAGTGGATTTTTGAAGTTTATTTATTTATTTATTTATTTGAACACATAGATATTGGTACGAAGGGGCACCAGACACATATGTGCCACACAAGTCATTTGATCTCCGTGTGGGCTGTGATACTGCCTGCGTGCCCAAATAGAAGCAGGTGGTTTTCCTAGGGGCCACACCTGGAGCCTTCGACCTATAGGTCTGATCCACAAGTCAGTGAAGCAACGTCAGGAGATGCAGTCCCATGGTAGCCTGTGACCAATGATTGGTTCATACGCCATTTGTCCCTTCAGGGTACTGTAGTCCATGTGCACTATTGATTGGGAATCAGGGTTTTCCAACTCCCCTAGATACATTCTTTGTGTCCACCAACCCTGTTGAAGCGCTGAACATTCACTTTTCATCCTTTCAATTTTTTAGACAACACTGTTACCGCTAGAGTAGGACTTTCCTGGTAGTGGCTCTATGCACGTGGTCATGTGAGTGCATTTCGAGATGCAGAGATGATTTTCTTCACCTTTGGCCGTACCAGGGCAATTTTTGAAGTATCAAAGTATGATATAATATTAAAACTCGAGACCTAAGGTATAAATTTATTGTTATTTTCATCCTGAACTAGGAATCTTGTTACGTCGTTGGTCTGTCTACCCACTTTTGGTGCTGAGGATAACTTGTCTAATCTAGATTAAGACCTTCACGCGATAGGTTGACGGTTTAACCTTGAGGCTAGTATGCGTGAGTTCGAAGTGGGTTTGAGAGAAGAAAACTATCCTATCACCTGATTGGCTGAGAAGTACGCGAGTGAGAGAAGACAAGTCAACTGGAACACTACTCGATCTATCCCCAATTTCCTGATTTCAGATTAGTGTAAAAAGGTACATGAATAAATAGACGACTAACCCGACCACAAAGTACAATAATTAGGAAAATACAATGCGCACTGCTGAGGAGTCCCAAAATAGGACGAAACGGTTTAACATCAATCGGTTCATGATCTCAATCAGAAAATTAATCTCCACAACCTCTAAATTGATAATTACCATGTGCTCACTAGTGACTGGCTTTATGAGAAAATTCTCGGAGTTCTAGTGAGAAGCCGTGACCAGTGGAGCTAATCCGTGTCGGGTAGAGACAGGTATCTACCTCACTACAATGGAAGATGGTCGCGCAGTTTTATGGATTCGTTGATGTTAGACACTAACACCATTGAATTCCTGCTCAGTGGTTCAGTAGGTTAAGCGTTTGCACGCGAGACAGTAGGCCCTGAGTTCGAGTCCCGCGAGCGGGGTCGTGGATGCGCACTTCTGAGAAGCCCCACTACAGGACGAAACGGCCGTGCAGTACTTCCAGGTTTTCAATGGTGGTCTAACATCATTCGGTTCATGATCTCAATCAAAAACTTAATAATCTCCACAACTTTTAAACTGATAAATACATTTATGTTCAAAACTGGATATTAGTGTAGAAAATAGGGTGCAAAATAATATGTTTAAATTACAATAGCTTTGGAACAAAAAGGGCTATGACAGTGAATCATACGCTAGACGAAAACTTATGGTTTGTAGAATAAATAAAGGACAAAAATAAATATTAATGTTTTACAAGCTTCGAATTAACTGAAATAACGTCCCGAAAAATAGCTTTCGTAGTTTGTCAGGGTTTCTTGTTTCTCTGTTCACATTAAATCTGTAGTTTGCAACAAAACAGTGGTCAGCAGTAAAGACTTGGTGTAATCATTCTACAATTCACGTTTATGTAATTAAATAAATAGTTTTAGTAAGTAAGAAATGATTCCAACATTTCGTTAAGTTTTCAGTGAAATCTCCTTTAAATTGTTTTACAGTTAATCAGAAATAAAGTTTTTTCGAACCTTAGATTACTAATTACCTAATTGTTTTATCTATCGTTATATTCACGTGATTGTGTTTTCACTTATCCGATAGATTAATCAATGAATGTGTGAATAGATCGGATTTTAGTGACACAATACTGGGATAAAATATTGTAGAAATCATTTTAAGGGACTTTATGAACCATGTGTCTTTCAGATAGTTTATTCGAGGTCAGGTTTGTTAATTAACTAGTAAGTGGAACATAATCGTCTTGTACTGATCTCAGTTGTGGTACCTCTGAGAATGGGATAGCGATATACCGCTGTTATTCTTGAGTATACGACTTCTCAACAGAGCGCTCACGACCCCTCCAGGACCTTCACAACTTGAACTAGGAACTAAACCGTTAGACTTTAATTACTCTAGTATTAAATTATACAAATAGGTGCTTTAAATCTGGCCAATTTTATGGATTCATAATTGTAGAATCTGATGTGAAATTCATTGAAACGAACATTCTTCGTTTATACAATTGTGATTTAAATATAGATTAAATTTGTTTTGATTAAGTTAAGTAAACATTCGATATCACTGATCTGTAATAACAAGCAATTTTTTCATTACTTTAAACTGATCAACCATTCAATAGTGCTAGTTATTATATTCTAGTAGTATAATGAATTTTTAAAAGAATACTTGTTCAGCATTTATATACAAGTCTTGTTCATTCATTTCAAATCTACTTATTCTAGAAAAGATATTAAAATAAATATTACACCTTGTTTAATAACTTAAAAGTTACATCATTCCGTCAATACTAATAATACAAGTTATTCTATTCGAGAAAAGTTACATTGAAGAAAATTGATCAGAATGAGTTGTTTATTCACAATGGTCTTAATTTATAATTTACCACTTGCATAATTATTATCTGTATTTGTTTTATTTAAAAAAAATTTAATTATTACTTGTTTACACATAATGTATGTTGTATTCCTTTTAAACAAGACCTTGGTATCATTCATTCTAATTACAAATCTGTTTATCTATTACCAATGGTGGTCTAGCTTCAACTGACTCATGATCTTAACCATTGAAATTACTATAATATCCACAAAATACCCCCTATGATATTAATCAACATATGCTCACTAGTGACTGGCTTCACGAGGTATATCCTGGAGTTCTAATGAGAAGTAGTGACCAGTGGAGTTCAACCAGTCTGTTGTGAGATATCAACTCACTGAAGACAATGGTGGATGTGTCGCTCAATTTCGTGGATTAGTTGAAGTTAGACATTAACACCATAGATGCCGGCTCCGTGGTCTAGTGGTTAAGTGCTCGCGCGCGAAACCAGTAGGTCTTGGGTTTGAATCTCGCAGAGGGCGAGGTCGTGGATGTGCACTGCTGAGGAGTCCCACAATAGTACGAAACGGCCGTCCAGTGCTTCCAGTTTTTCCATGGTGGTCTAGCTTCAACTGACTCATGATCTTAACCATTGAAATTACTATAATATCCACAAAACCTATCTGATATTATCAATCAGTTGTTCCTCTACATTATTGATAATTTGTCGCTTTAGGAGAATATTGATATTGGAATTTCATAAAGATTATGTTACCATTTTTTATGAATAATAAAGATTGTTCGAACAAGGTGATCTCGGACGCTGTTGGAGATATGATTACACCATGGAAGAATAATTCTTCTTGGGGTACATGAGAGTGAAACTGGATTAAGAATAGTCTTGACGACCTGGGTGCGTTGTCCCAGAGCCCAAAGGATAATTGGTTTGAATCGGTCACATAAAGTCTTTTAACTAGTAAATTTAAGTGTGTTAACTCCGCACTTCAAAAAAATTTCACCACATAACTTGGGAACCCAAGGGGCAAAGTGAAAAACGCTATTTTTAGGTAAAATCTACCCTAACTCCTTAATATTGTAAAGAGGTGGCTTCACCTCAGATAACTGCTACCTGAGGGGAACAGTTTACTGCTGTTACTCCTCAGTACAGTCGGGTGAACGACCTCGAACCGAGAGCTTTCTCTTTTTGTTCATATCGCTATGGTAATTAAGTAGTAAAAAACAGCTTTTCTTATGTTTATTGCTTCCTAACTCACCTTAATAACATAAAAGAACAAGTGTTCCGTTCAATATAAATCTATTTGACTATCACAAAATACAAGTCCAACCACTATGTGACAGATACAGTCGGATGATTATTAAATGTAACCGTTAAACAATGTACGAAATGAACTGATTTTTCCTTATTTTTTATATTCAATGAACAAAGCAATGAAAAAATGTTTAATATTTTTTTCAGAGAAAAAAACATCATTTATTACCTAATGATTATTATTATTTGTAAAATATATCACATTTAGTATTAGCAAGTAAAATTAAGGTAGATAATATGAAGCTCGTACCTATCAACAAACACATGTTGTCGAGGTTATGTGAGAGAACAGCATTTTATTATTTACTTTCATAGATAACTTTTTTTTGACCACTTTTTCTCTTTACTTAAGCATAATACAATAACGGAAAATCGTTTTTCAATCACTTGAGGGTAGTATAACTGTTATAATAGAAGTAGTTTTTTTTATCATGGGCGGTATTATGTCGGATTTCATTTTTTAATCTACAGAAAACTGGATAAATATTTATAAAATGATGTGTTTGAGTGGAATTAAAGAAAAGTGAATTTTTTAGATCTAACAAAGTAGTTTATTGAGAAAAGAAATTGTAGTGTTTAAATTATAGAATGCCTACGGCTAAAGTACCACTAAATGCCAGGAAGTACTGGACATCACTTAGACTTAAATATGATACTCTTCAGGATTTTTCGTCCATGACTTCATCTGTGGTGTTTATATGAACTAATGATTCCTTTGTACTTGATGACTGCCTGATTTTGAATTCCAAATACAATACGTTCGTTCGT